AAAGTTGAAGAAATTGAACCAAACAAAGAGTATACGTGGGTAACGAGACAATGGGAACAACAATTGCTATACCATTGTTGTCTATTGGTCTTAGCCGCCCATTCGACAATTTCCGGCTTCACGGCCTCGATCTCGATCAACACGGTGCTGAGAGGAGTCTTGCTTCAACAGCTTCTTCAAGTATCAATTACCCAATTCGGATTTCTTGTGAATCATACTATCTAGTATCTATTAAAGCATGCATTCCGACAAAATGGTTTCATCGCATATTTGCATTAGCTAGTAAACATTTTTAATTAGACCAAGGCAAATAAGAAGCGACGTCGTTTTAACCCTAGTTACGAGCGACTGCGGATTGTAGATTAGGTTGCCTTGACTCTCAAACCAAAGCCACTTAAAACCGTTGAGTTATTTGATTTGGTTCTATGAACACCAAGCAAAAAAACATAATGACCGTCGAACTGAAAACAATTTAATAAAATTGTTCGTGGACCTTTTTTTTTTAAAAGAGATATAAGTGCACGTTAAGATTTTAAAAATATTACTAAAAAATTAGCAAGGTGATAAACCCAGCAGCCATGCCAAAAAAGTGTATATTTGATTAGTTCTTGAAAATTATCATATAAAAGAAGTTTTGTAGAAACATATTCTCTCATGATTTCTCTGTCCTTTTCTTTTAACCATGGTCCATGTACAATCAGCGATGACAAAGAAACGTGTGTAGTATTTTTAAACAATTACACAAAACATATCTTGATGAATCAAAAATATTGTACATACATTTAAATATATTGCACACAAACGTGTGTACATATTTCTGTCTATTGAGATTGAGGTCATACTAAACTGTATTATTATCTTTCGTGCACAACTTAGTTGAATTTGAATTGACTGAATCTCTCCGTTAAACCCATTGGCCATTAACTATGATAATTCAAAAGTATAGTTCAACGATATATATCTTCTAATTTGACGTGAATAAATTTATAAGTTAGCTTGCCGTGCATACTACCGCCATGCATATACCATCAGTATAAAACATATAACTTCTGATTAGTTATCGATAAAAATTCCAAAAGATTGAAAAACAAAAAACAAAAAAACGTAAAATTTCTCTAAAAAAACTCAATTTGAAAATTCTTTGTAGTACTTGTGGAGTAATTAAAAATATGATGGTGTGCGATGGGTACGTGAGTGACGAGACGATGGGGACAATTGCTCCCGTTGTTGTCTATTGGGTTTACGCCGGAGTTTACCAGATTCTTAGCCTTTATTTGGATAAGTTCCGGTTTCACAGCCTCCACGAAGAGCACAAGAAAAACGTAGTCCCAATCATCACTGTGGTCAAAGGAGTCTTGCTTCAACAACTTCTCCAAGTCGCAATAACCCAATTAGGATTTGTTGTGAGTTATACAAATTTTATTAACGCATTCCAACGAAATGATCTCAATTATAGCATTAGCAATTAGTTTAAATGATTTTTGGCGCCTATACGGGATTGCAATAGTTTGAGATGTTAGCAAGGAATTTGCGTTAAAACGGGATTTGCAAACACACAATTCTGCAATTTTACCACTACGGAATGTGTTTATTTCACGTAAAAAAAACTAGTAAGATTCCACATTTTCAATGTTAAATTGCGATTCTATCCGATTTTTTTCATGTCAATTATAGGATTATAGAGTTTTTTGTGCCAAAATATGATTTCATAATGTTGACACGAAAACGTAATTTCAGCCGTTTGTTAAGTTTAGATTCAAATCTGCATCCAAATTCTATAGATTTTTGAATTTTAATTTGAACTTGTATCCACAAGCAACTTCGGAACACACATTACATACCAAGCTGGTAAAAGAATAACATCCGGTGTATTTGCATCGAGATGTTACATCAAAACAAAAGATTAAAATGGTTGTTTGTTTAGAGGAATAAAAATTGGTGGAATTAAGTATACTTTTTAGAGTTTTACCATTTGAGTGAAACAAAAGTTGGTAAAATTGAACATTCATATATGGTCAAGTCCGGTTTTTATCTTACCTCATCGACTTCGTGTTAATGATGAATTTTGTGTTATTTGTAGATTACTTCCTATGGTGAAGAAACCTTGAAACCCACGGTCCAACCTCCAGTATCAATCCAGATCCTTCAGATATTACTAGCCATGTTCATATTCGACACGTGCCAATACTTCGTCCACCGTTACATGCACCACAACAAGTTCCTCTACCGTCACGTTCACTCGCACCACCACCGTCTCATAGTCCCTTACGCCGTTGGTGCTCTCTACAACCACCCGGTCGAAGTCATAACCGACATGCTCGGCGGAGCCGCAGCGTTCTTTGCGACGGGGATGACACCGAGAACGAGCGTTTGGTTCTTCTGCCTCGCCACCGTCAAGACCAATAGACGATCACTGCGGTCTACTGCTTCCGGGGAACGTGTTCCACGTTTTGTTCAACAATAACGGAGCTTATCACGACGTTCATCATCAGGTTAACGGCGTTAAGTATAACTACTCGCAACCGTTTTTCACGTTTTGGGACAGAGTCATGGGGACTTACATGCCCTACTACGTCGTGAAGAGGCCTGAGGGAGGCTTCGAAGTAAGGATGATGAAGAATAGAGATTTGTGATTATATAGAACCGTTTATATACAGCAATATGGATTGTTCCAATATTTTTTTTTCATTCATTAGCATGTTAAAGATACGAGTTTTGATGATTTGATCCTCAAAACCTCATAGCTCCGGAGAAGATAATGCATTTCCAAAAGATTTGTACGATCTTAAAAACAGCATTGTTCCGTTGCATATCTATGAAAAAGAAAATATGGTTACATGATGATACGTGACCAAGTAGGAGGGATTAATGCACACAAGAACTTCGAGAAACCGAACAACCACAAAACAAAAGTAGGGATATGAAATGTTATTAAGGGTTGTTCATTTCCTCGTCGAGACGCATCATGTAGATGCAGTGATCAGATGTTGTTTATTTTTGTCAAATTAAGAAGTGCGTCTAGATACAAAACTTGATGCAAAATGAAACTCATCAAAAAAAAATTATATATTTTGGATGAGTTTGAAAATAAAGTTTGGATGCACTTCAAAATTACAAAAGTACCCTTATTTCTA